ATCCCAGAACCCTGAGATCACGACCTGAGCCGAAAGCAGAGGCTTTAACCCACCGAGCCACCCAGGCACCCCAAGACGAATGCTTTTAAGAGCAAAGAGAAAAAGAGGTAAACTCAGAGGATGGGAAAGAGATAAAGATTGGTGGTTCCCGGGGTTAAGAGAGATTTACATTAGGCTTCTCACCCCTTCAGAATGGAAATGTTGACACCAAGTACAGATGGCCCATGTGTTCCCACCTACTCCCATGCCAAGCATGGCACAGATGCAGACCATGACCAGCATCCAGAGGGACCAAGACCACAGGTCACTGGCACAACACTGTGTGGTAAAGAAGCTTCCAGCTGCATTTAAACTAATATAAAGAAAATTAGGAAATGTCACGTTTTCTGCACAACCCATTTGGTGCACTAAGAGTCATGTGTGGACCTCTTGTGGGGTATGACTGATGCATACTTATAGCCCACACTGATTATAGGGCTGGAATTTAACCAATTTCATTATAAGCCCATGGTCCTGACTGTTTTATAGAACTAGTATAAAGAGACGAATATAAACTCTTAGAAAACGTAACTGATGAACGAATACTGAGGGTGTGTGGTAAGTTTAAGTTTGAAAGAGTACTTTAGAATATTTTAAAATCCCTGGCCAGATCAGTGCCTTTTTCAGGAGTAACAAAATACAGATCACTTCTTTGTTACTGTTATCTTGTCTTTGTGGAAGTGGATTCAAAGCAGGACAGTATCAAACAACAAAAAATAAAAGTACTATTCCCAATATTGTACAACTTGTAAAAATTATAAACAAATAAACCCTGGGCAGATACAGGATGGCCAGAGAAGGATGCGAAGAGAACTTGCTAGTTTGCTGAGATTGAAGTTCTCTGTAATTCTCAGGAAAATAATCTAGAAAGATTTTAAGGCCTCTGATTTCTTTACCTTTTTTTTTAAGTTCTCAAAAAAAAAAAAAAATTAAAATTCTCCCTGGAGAGGGAGAGGCATACAGCAGCCAGGAGACAGGCTACCTGGGGAAGGGACCAATGTGTTAGGACTGCAGTGGAGACAACTGTGGCGATGGATGGATGTGAAGGTTACCAGAAACGGCAGGGGCAGGCCGTCTTCCAGCATTTCCAATGAGAAAGCCCCACCCCCAGAGAGACTTTTGAGTCTTGTCCTGGAGTCCTGGAGAGAGAGAAATGGAGAAGGGCTCAGCTGATATGCCTCTCCTGGTAGCCCTGGGGCTGTTTTGCTCACACCCTCCCCCCTTTGCTTGCCCAGCTCAGCTCCAGCCATACATGAGGCCTGCATCTGCATCTTCTTTACCAGGAATGCCCTCCCTAGACGTTGGTATGGCCCATTCCTGTACCTCTTGTGGGTCTTTACTCAAATAGCACCTTCGTAGTCAGGCCTTCTCTATCTCAAATTACAGTCCCAACCCCAGCACTGCCTTCTGCACTTAACCCTCTTTGCAATATCACATATTTTACTCATTGTGTGTCTTGTCTGACTCTTCCCTCTAGGGATTCTCAGAGAAGAAAGGCACAATGTCTTTTGTTCAGTGCTGTCTTCAGCCCCTAAAAGTGTCTGGAACCAAGTACATGTTTAATAAATGCTGAAATGAAAAATGAGCACATACGTTTCTATGGAATAAATGCCCAAGTGGCCTGGGCTTGGGGTACTTCTGTTTTCACAGTCAACAATGTTGCAGTGGCTGTGGCCAAGCAGCTGAGTATACAGCCAGGGGGCCTGCTGACAACCAGGGAACATGCACGTCTGGTAAAAAAAAATTAAAATTGAAAAACAAACAAATAACAAACAGAAACAAAACCCACACACAAGAACAAAAAAATCATGTCTCATACCCATCACAGAGCTGTGAATGGGCATCTTCAATCACACAGGGCCAGAGGGCAGCAGTGGTCCAGGCTGGGGCAGCTTGGACTTCAGCTCAGCTCTGTCCTACACAGGAGGGAGAAAGCAGGTGGACCATGGCAGGGCACATGCTCTCCGAGAGCTGTCTAAATTAGGTCTGTCCACTCCATGCTCGCCCAACAAGGGGATACAGCAAAGCAGGGAGAAGAGGATTGCTGCCTGCTCCTCTCCACAAATATCCACCCTCCTGTGGTGCACATCTCAACCACAACAACAACAAACTCCTTAATAAAAGAGCTGGTAATGGGGCACCTGGGTGGCTCAGTGGGTTGAAGCCTCTGCCTTCGGCTCAGGTCATGATCCCAGGGTCCTGGGATTGAGTCCCCGCAGCATCGGGCTCTCTGCTCAGCGGGGAGCCTGCTTCCCCCTCTCTCTCTGCCTGCCTCTCTGCCTACTTGTGATCGCTCTCTCTCTGTGTCAAATAAGTAAATAAAATCTTTGGAAAAAAAAAAAAAAGAGCTGGCAAAATTCCCATCTGGGGAGAGGAAAACCTCACCACACTTTTATATGTGTCCTGATGTACAGCTCAAAGAACAAAATAGCGTAATATATAATCCCTGTTTGCATGAAGGTTATTCTCTTGGTGTGCAAACAAGACTGAGAAATAAATCCAGCAGCATTTTTCTAACAAAGGGTCCCATACAGCAGACAGAGAAGGGCTGATAATATGTTTATTCCTGGAGTCTGGCTGGCATTTGAGTTGGAATGCAGAAATTTTTTTGCAGTCTTAGTATTTTTATTTTTTTAAAATCAGATTTTGTATTTAATTGTAATCTGCATTGTAAAGATTTTATTTATTTATTTGACAGACAGAGATCACAAGCAGAAGGACAGGCAGTGTCGGGTACGGGGAAGCAGGCTCCCTGCTGAGCAGAGAGCCTGACTCAGGGTCCATCCCAGGACCCTGGGATCATGACCTGAGCTGAAGGCAGAGGCATTAACCCACTGAGCCACCCAGGCGCCCCTGTAATCTGCATTGTAAAAAAAAAAATGTTCAATCACTTACCAGTAAACTGACTTAGCTTTGCTTCCCAAGGCTTCCAGACAAACTGATGTGCCACCAAGTTGTGTCAAGAAATCCCATGATTTTGAATTCACCCTGACACTGTGAACCCCCAAAGGTGTAACCCTAACTAGTAAATGTGGAATTCGGATGTTAGGAAAAACATCATCTTATGCCAAAATATATGACAGAGACAACTGCTATGGCTCTTCAGGAAAAGCCAAAATATTTGGAAAGATTATATGGAGTCAGATGTGAACACGATTATTCAAACTACCGCCAGGGAAGAAGCTGTAAGATACAGACTTTTTTTTTTTTAAATGAGGAAACGAGTCATTCTTAAAACAAATATATAGCTTTTTTTTTTTTTAATATAAATGGAAAGTACATAGGCAGTAATAATGGAAATAAACATCTTCAACTCTGGGCTCTTTTTGAAAGACACAAGATGATTTTTTCAAACGATATAAGATGCATGGATAAATCACGTTCATACCTTACAGTGTTAAGTAGCAAACAATTTAAGTTCATAATGAACAATGACTGCTTTTCAGTAGCTTGAAATTCTAGTCATTTATTTCATAATTCTCATGAGTAAAAAAAGGAAAAAGCTAATCATGTACCTTAATATTGTCATTTCTGGATTACTCAATAGTATAAACAACTCTGAAGAAAAAATAGAGTCCTGTGTTTATCACAGGTATAATAAAAATAAAAAGACATTTATCAAGCATAACTAATGTATTAAAAACTGTATTTTAGGATAATGTTTCACAAACACAACTCCAACATTTCTCTTTGGTTCAGGAAATATAAGAGGTAGGTTCAAGTAAAGTAAGTGCCTATTACATCACTGGATTTTCACTAAAAAATTGGCAATTTATAACAGAAACCACTAGAAATCAAATGTGAGTTTAGGAACTAAATTAAAAAGCTACAGAACAACTTTAACTAATAAATATCTAAGTCTTAATCACACAAATCAAAACAAGATGGCTGACTACAAAAATGTAGTAAAATAAAAATATGCTATCAATATTATAAATTTTCTATATCATAACATGTTCCTAAAACTGGGGGCAAGAGAGAATATGAATTATATGTGTATAACTTGGACCTTTCATTTAAATGTAGGTACCTAATACATAATATTGATATATACTACTATTAAAATGTACTAATCTCCTAAGTTTGTGCTGTCCAAATTGAGAACTGCAGGTTCAAACAAATTCAACAGTGTGGGGGAAATGAAAATATCAATCACCCATGATCAACCTACCCATGTAATTAAGAAATGTCAGATTACTAATAATGCACCCTAGAAGCTTTCCTGATTAAAACAGAATCTGACTCAAGTAGGAAACAAAGGACAAAGAGAGATGCTCTGAAGAAGCTGACATAAATAAGAGGGTTTTGTCTCCTGGTGCTTTTCAAAGTGATGACAAAATAAATAGAATCTTTCAAATAAGTTGCCTTGTGTTGATAATTTAACAGTAATATACTGACAATCAGTGTGCCATTCCAGGAACCAAATAACCGTGCAAGGAAAATGGAAAAGAGCCCACTGAAATAAATATTATTTCATCACTCCTCCTTATACAAAAATATAAATGGACTACAGTATTTGCATGTCCTGGAATTCTGCCACTTAAGTTCTTCCTCATTCAGCTTCAAGAAAGATAAGGATAGAAGCCCTATACTTATTTGGCTGCTGTAAGATATGTTTTCATGCAATGATTTTCTATTAATGGTTCTACAAGGAAATTTTAAGCAGTCTATAAAGACATTCCAAATACATAAAACAACTCAAGTTTCAAGTTTTTCTGATCATTTTGTTTTGTACAAAAAGACACTTAAGTATTAAGGGACTGGTATGTACTTGAACCAACCAAAATAAAGATTAGTGATTTATAATTATCACATAAAACATATTTAATTCGAACAATACATTTTTCAGATTTAGGACTCAGGGCATAGATGTGTAGAAAGGTACTAATAAGAAAAGATAAAATACAATTTTTCTGGCCTTTTCAAAATTGTATGAGCTTATCAAAACTATGATTTTTGACATTTCTATATATATATAAAATTGAGCCCAAATGTTTGAAATAATCATTGATATGCTCTTCCTTTTTTTGGTGAGAAATAAAGGCCTTCTTTTGCTATACACTTGTAATTCTAGGAGAAAAAGTCACTCCAGAGATTGTTGAAAATTTCAATAATCATGCTAAAGCAAAAAATTCAACATGTCATTTCTGGGATACTCCTAAAGTTTGCTTCATATTTTCATAAACCACATAACTGATGCCCACAGCAGGGAGCACCTTCATGAAGTTTGGAGTGATGCCTCTGTAAAGTCCTGGGATTCCTTCTTTAGAAACTATCCGTCGAAAGAGGCCAACCATGTTCATCTGTTTGTTTCCTTCTATCATGGCTAGAAAAAAAAAAAAGAAGAGAAAAGAAACCAGGCTAATTTAATATTCAAGCATGCTTTGTTATTATTGTCATATATAATTATGATTCCAAATGACATGTGAGAATATAATAAAAGGATAATATTTATTCCAAGGGGCTCAAGAAAGTACCCCTTTATGTAATTCTCCTTGCATGGCACCTGAGAGTGAGGTCCATAATTATAATAACAATGATAACAACAGTTATCATTGAGTGATTACCATGTGTTAGATACTGGGTTATTTACCTTATCCACCAATTCTGCGAGGTAAGTATTATAGCCATTTTATAAATGAGGAATTGGAGGCTTAGAAAGATGGAAAAACTTGGCCTGGTCCACTTAGCTAGTAAGGGGAGAACTGAGAGCCGATAGTCTTTCTGACTCCAAAGTTCACGTACTTTCTCGAGCCCTGCATTGCCACCACCACACCTCATTAATCACACACTGAAAAGAGAGTAGTTCAATCCTGGGAATTAAGGGGAGCAGGGGGAACACTCTGGGGAACTTGGGAAAAAGTAGGATTCCAGGGTGGTACAAAAGACCTCAAGAGGCAAGAAAGGGGGTAAGGGGAAGCCCGTGTTGCTGGCACAACAAAGACAGGGGAGGGAACATGCAGGTGCTAGGGGACACTGCTGACCGTCTACGTGGTTATTACACGGAGGGCACCCAGTGGCGGGAGGCGGAGAAATAAAGTGGGGCCAGATTACTACAGGCTTTAAAAGTCCCACCAAGAACCTCAAAGTTTATTTGGAAGACACTGGAGATCACAAAGGTTATTGCACAGGCATAAAAGGATCGGAACTTGACTTTAAAAACAACATCCTTGTGGCCCACGGGAGGACTGAAGTGGAGTTGGCATACGGGAGCGGAGGGACTGTCAGGTGATGCTGCCAATCAGACAGCCTGGGTTTGAAGTCTAGCTTCACTATTTACCAAACGTATAACCTTAAGGAAGTTACTTAATCTCTCTTTGCCCCAGTTACTCATCTATAAAATACAGAGGATATTAGTATCAATCCCAAAGATGGCTGTGATGGTTAAATGAGAGAATACATAATATTTGGTTACTATGTTGCATTTTTCTCTCCAGCCACATGATCTTTTGGTGCCTCAAACAGTCCCCATTTCCCCTGCTTTAGTGCCTTCACATATACTTTTCCTTGGGCTAGAATGCTCTTTCTTTTCCACCCCACCCATCTTTGCCCAGCTAACTCCCACCTGTCTTTCCAGGAGGAGCTTAAATGATAACGTTCTCAGGCTCCCAAGTAAGGCTAGGGATCCTTGTTCTGTGCTTCTCCTAACAAAGCGTGTTAACAAGGTTGTTTACTTGTTGATCCTGTGTTTTCTCCACTCAGCAAAGGCAGGGACAACATCTGTCTTGTGGACTGCTCTGACCCTAGAGTTTCCAGCACCTGACCATGGGGCTCTAGAAGTAGTCATTAATTAATGAGTGATGACTCGGTTGGGGGTGGGGGTTGTTGGTACTTGGAAGAGAGACTGGCCAGCAAAAGAGCCAAAAAGAAAAGAAATGCATTGTGGACTCTGAGAAACAAACTGAGGGTTTTAGAAGGGGGGGGGGGGGGGGGGGGGATGGGTGAGCCCAGTGATGGGTATTAAGGAGGACATGTATTGCACGGAGCACTGGGTGTTATACGCAAACAACGAATCATGAACACTACATCAAAAACTAACGTTGTATGGTGACTAACAGAAAACAATTAAAAAAAAAAAA